TATATATATAGTTTTATTGTTAATTTGTTTCAATTACCTTATTGTGAGTGAATGAAAATATGCACTATAATGTTTAGATTTGAAAAACTTTTTCAATTGCACGTAATGATTGAATAAACTTATTAGATGTTTGTAATTTATGATTTTTAACGTTAATTGTAATGTAAATGTTTGAACTTTCTTTTAGAATATATTCATGAATTCGGTACATTAGGTGATTGTAATTTATATTTATGATATTGGAAAGTGAATATAATATTATTTGAAAAGTATAAGATCTAGGGTCGATTTTGTTCTCATCGGACCATGGGCTCACTCCTTGGACCGGTCCTTAAAAGTCATGGCAAATTCACGTTTAAAATTCTTAAAATTGATCATGCATGGGTGGTCAAAAGGAAAAAAAAAACCAACATAATTTTGAATTAATGAAATTCATTTAATCCATAAACTCATTAAAAAAAGCTGTATTTAAGATTTTTTTATAATCTATTTAGATTAAGTTAGAATATTTTTGAGTGCAATAAAAGAGGGTTAAGATACGAACTTGATCGCATGCTTTTTCAAATTATAGATTTTTTTAAAAAATTTGATGAATTAAATTCATATTTTTTCATTAATATTGAAACTTATCTTTCCTTCAATAAGTAATTGTTAAATCTACGACACGAAGCTTTAAATTAATATCGTGACAATTTACATTCTATTTTTGGATCAATTAAAAACATGTGGCATCAATTCAATAAATTTGCACATGAGCGGAATTGAGATATCATGTATCCATCTGTCGAAACAGTTACTTTATAACTTGCCATGTTAACTAAAAAGTGGTCATGTTATCAATATAATAGTTTACGTCAGTAATTTAATATTATTTATTGATAGATAAGTTAATATTAATATTTGATGAATATGGAAAGTGCGAGATTAAGTCGATTTTATAATTTTAAAAAAATTTACTTAAAAGAATTACAAATTAAGAAATTAAGTTTTTTGAATATGAAAAGTATGAGATTAAGTTTACTTTCTAACTTTAGAAGAATTTACTTAAGGAATTCGAAAGTAAAACGTTAAGCATATTTTATCGCTTTAAAAGAATTTACTTATTTAAAAGAATTCTGGTAATTCGATTTTAACCGAAGAATGTATTTTGTTTAATCAAATTTTATGTGTGTTTTGTTTAGCCATAAATTGAACCCTTCAAATCGGGGGGACCACTTCGTGTGTCCTGACTGTACATTGTAAGGTAACTTCAGCATCAATCAGTTCAATATATCAAAGCAACATGGACGGCTCTGATCCGTGGGCATTATTGTAAATTTAAGAGAAAAAAATATGGAAAGGAGGTGAAAAGGTCGGGTAGTAGTCTTTCTTGCTCCCAGGAAGGAGCTTGAATGGAAAATTTTCTCACCTAATTGAAGTTGCCATATTTTGGAGCTACTCTCGTAAATTCCTTTGATTACCCTTGGTTCAATTCTCGCCTCATTTTACTTTTGTGTCTGTTCTCTTTTTCTGTGTTAGACCTTCCCTATATATGGCCTTCTCCCTCTCTCTCTTTGAGAAAGGCTCATTTTTTTTCTCTCCCTTCTCCTTTGCTCATTAATTAACTGATCAACTTGTTCTCTTCCAATTCTCTGTTTTAGGTCTCGGAGTTTTCGTTTTTCTTCGTCTTTTGTTCGTTTTCTTGTCTGGGTAATTCTTGTTTTTTGTTGAGGTTTTAATAGGTAGCCATGAATGCTCTAGCTGCAACTAACCGCAATTTCCGCCTGGCGTCTCGTTTACTCGGGTTGGACTCTAAGCTTGAAAAGAGTCTTCTGATCCCTTTTAGAGAGATCAAGGTTTTGCAGAAAATTCTCTTCTTTCTTGTTTTTGTTGGGGAGTTTGATGACTTTTTTGTCTTTTGATCTTCGAATGCTATGTCTTGATTGGTGTTTTTGATCAGGTCGAGTGCACGATTCCGAAGGACGATGGAACCTTGGTGTCATACGTTGGATTTAGAATACAGCATGATAATGCCCGTGGTCCCATGAAAGGAGGAATCCGATATCATCCTGAGGTGATCACTTATTTGCGTTTCTTTTTTCTGTTGGGATTTTTGTCTTTTATTGTTTTTGTTTTTTATGATTGATTGGTTCTTTAGCCTTGAGAGATCGTCATTCGGTTTACTTTACTGATCAGGCTGTTGGCATACTTCTTTAAGAAACAAAAGACAAACCTTTTTGGAGTTTCATAGTTTGTTGAATCCAGTTTGCTTTTTTTTTTCTATTGTTCTGTGGAATTAAAGTAATATAATCTTATTTTCCTGTTAGAGCATTTTTAATAGATTCTCCTGCACCCTCCAAAAGGTAACCGTTTCAGTCCAATGGACTCTGATTTGAATGCCATAATGATAATGATGGAAAAGCTAAATCTCGGCATGATAATCAAGCAGTCTTTTCTTCTTGCGAAAATAGAGGAGAACATCAGTTAAGTAATATACTTTACCAAATAGGCCCTGCTCTTCTGAATTCCTATCGTTAATGGAATTCAGCGAAGGATTTTGGATCTTGGTCTCCTGGATTTAGAGCAAATGCCTACTTGTAACTCTGTTTCGTTTTCTGAGTTCCAATGTACCCTTTTTATATGTTTCCCCTGTTTTAAATTTCAGCAGGCAGTTTCAATTACGCATCTCTGTGCTGATCTAAAGGCATGAAAGTGCTGCAAAATCTTTAGACTTGACAATTGATGTTTGTTAATTTTGTTTAAAGGTTGACCCTGATGAAGTAAATGCCCTGGCTCAACTAATGACCTGGAAGACTGCTGTAGCAGACATTCCATATGGTGGTGCAAAGGGTGGCATCGGATGCTCCCCGAGGGATTTAAGTAAGAGTGAACTGGAACGTTTAACTCGTGTCTTCACTCAAAAGATCCATGATCTCATTGGTATACATACTGATGTTCCTGCCCCTGACATGGGAACCAATTCACAGGTTATATAGTCCTCACTGAGTTATGTTTTGTCTTTCATAAATTTTCTTTTTTTTTTTCTAAATTACAAAATTGTTTTCATTTCATAAATTTACTTTCTTAAATTTATATGTATATTAAGAATATATATGTGCAGACCATGGCATGGATTTTGGATGAATACTCCAAGTTTCATGGGCACTCACCAGCTGTTGTTACAGGGAAGCCAATAGTAAGTGCTAATGACTGACATTACAAGCTTGTGATGTAATATTTGAGACAAATATCAATAACTGGCAAGAATAACAAAACTTACATATACTTATATATGGAATTTTAGGATCTAGGTGGATCACTAGGCAGGGAGGCTGCAACTGGGCGTGGTGTTGTATATGCAACTGAAGCTTTACTTGCTGAATATGGGAAGTCGATTGAGGGTTTGACCTTTGTTATCCAGGTATAGTCAACATGAATTACTACACGGTTACGATTCCTTCTCCTTTGAGAAACTTCAAAACTTCTTTTTTTAATGTTTATATTATTAATTGTTTTCTAGGGTTTTGGTAATGTGGGGTCTTGGGCAGCAAAGCTCATACATGAGAGGGGTGGTAAGGTTATTGCGGTGAGTGACATCACTGGTGCTGTTAAGAATCCAAATGGAATTGATATACCAGAACTGCTGAAGCATAAAGAAGTTACTCGCAGTTTGAAAAGCTTCAGTGGTGGAGACTCCATGGATCCTAATGAACTGCTTGTACATGAATGTGATGTTCTTGTCCCATGTGCTTTAGGTGGAGTACTGAACAGGTTTGGATCCATTGCCAAGCATCTTGTTTGTCATGTTTCTGTGTAAACTTGTTCTGCTGTATGTTATTATTGCGAATTCTTCTATTTTATTTTTATTGCATCTAAACTATTGCGGTGCAAAACTTTTCCTATTTCCTTTAATAATTTATTGGAGTGTTTATGACTCAATGGCCTACCTATGGCTTCTTAATCGCAGTCGGGATAGAGGTTGAAACACTAGGTCAAAACCAGCTTTACAATTTGTGTTTGTATAGATTAATAAAGGTAGGCACCAAACATGCTCAAAGTTGAAATTGTACTAATTTTTTGTGTCAGCAAAAGCTAAGATGTTCTAATTTAGGGTTAAATTAGTTCATAATTTTCACATGATCAATTTATTTCATCTCTGCAGGACAATTTACATGTTCCATATTGGATATGGTGTGAGAACATGTTGTCCTTGCTGGCAAAATTTGAACTTTATTTAGAGCATGTAACTACCTAACCTAACATTGTTTTATTCTTAGTTGAGGAGGTTCCATCATTAACGTGGTATATTTGAGCAGTTGAACAAACTTGTGGCTTCTTTGCAATCTGTTTGGAAATTAGCTTTTCTTTTGACAGTATCTTAATTGGTTTCATCTTATATTTCAATCAATCGTTTCAAATATGGATTGTCTCACATGTTGACTTATCATGTTCTCCTTTAAAGGGAAAATGCTGCAGATGTGAAGGCGAAGTTCATAATAGAGGCAGCCAACCATCCCACGGATCCAGAAGCAGATGAGGTATCGACCACTTGTTTTCTGCTTCTAGAGGTGGATTTTGAAATCTGATCTGAGATTTTGATACTGCAGATTCTGTCGAAGAAAGGAATAATAATACTACCTGACATATATGCAAATGCTGGAGGGGTGACTGTCAGCTACTTTGAGTGGGTTCAGGTAATAGATTTTAGTTTGAGAAAATGGGTGAAAGGATTTTTCTATTCTGTTTGCTGTGCATCTTATCTTTCCAAGTTTTAACTCTAAAGAGTCGCAGCAACAACATAGTGATGCTTTGGTCAACTCTCAATGTATACTTGGTGCAAGGAAAGTTAAAGATCAAAATATTGTTTCATCTGTAATGGTTGATTCAATGGGCACATTTAGCAAAATACAATCATTTGAAAATTGAATGACTGGCATCAAGAGCAAGTTTGTGCCTCTTAACTAGTTAAGTTCATAATTTTTCCATCTGATATGGCAGAACATTCAAGGTTTCATGTGGGATGAAGAGAAAGTGAACAAGGAACTGAAGAGGTACATGACTCAAGCTTTTCATAACATCAAGAACATGTGCAAGACCCACAATTGCAATCTCCGGATGGGTGCCTTTACCCTTGGGGTAAACCGTGTTGCTCGTGCAACTCTCCTAAGAGGATGGGAAGCATAAATGGCTCCCTTTCTTTCCTTATTTTTCTTTATAGTCTCCATTGAAAGCTCAAGCAATAGCTTTGAAGCATTCTTATCTTGCCCCCCACCATAGTTATAACTTTTGATTGTTCTCACATTTATCCTTCATAAGCATTTAGACAAACATCAAATATATTCATCGGGGGTATTTGTTAAATTTCAAGTTTTACCAGCTTATATATGGAATAATGAATTTATTGTGTTCAATATTCTTTGAGCTTTGAGATTGAATCCATTGTAACTTGTTAATACTTTTTCTCATGCCATTTTAAGTTTTTGAAGACCCCAATGCGGAAAATTGATATATTCCTTCCAATTTCTCATTGTTATTAGTATTTGGCACAAATGAGTAAATCCTCCAATAAAATATGATACATTTCTGACAAAAAAACATTCTTGTATATCTACAAGTGAACGGAATATCGTAGTATATCCTACCCTTGTTTGTTTTTGTTTGCAGCAATCTCAATGTTACTGCTAATTCTTTAAAAGGATAATATCATACTTGGCTTATATAATTTTTTAATAAAATATATAATTTAATATCTGTAATAAAAAAAATTTCTGTGTCATTTTGTTATTAATGTGATTCGACGTCTGATTCTATTACAACTAATCAAATGTGAAATTATCCTTTTTTTTTTAATTATATACTACAAAAGGAGAAAAAGAGACAAGGGCAAGCACAAACAACTAAAAACCTTGCCCGTAACTCTCTGACAGAAAGTTTGAAAAGATAATCTTGTTTATTAAAAAGTATGGGCTAATTGTCTACTCCGTTCCTATCCCACAACCACAAAGCTTTAGGGAAGAGCAAAGAACCAAAGAAAAGAGTATTCCTATTGAACAACAATGGCTTCCGTTGCCATTTCTGCCTCCTTGCAGAGAGCTTGCACCTCACATCATGTCACCAGGAAGCAACATCCACAAGCCAAACCAGCTTATTCTCTAGGAACAAAGCAAGTGATGAATGCTGTCACCCTGGATATGGAAGGACAGAAAGGCATTGGCATAGCTGAAAAAGTAGAACCGGTTTCACAAAAAGTCAACCGACCCTGAGGATGAATTGAAAGACTGTACTTTCGAGACAGAATCTTCTGCTCCAAAGTTCAGGGACGAGCGCTGGAAGAACGGGACATGGGATTTAAATATGTTTGTTAGAAATGGTAGAATGGATTGGGATGGTGTGATTGTTGCAGGTCGGCTCTACAGGAATCCATTGTCTCTTTACATTCATATCGTTTAGCATTTTGAAAAAGCAAGATAATTTGTTGTTTATCTAAAAATACTTAGATATCCTACCAAATTGGCAAATTCAGCCTCCATAGCAACAATTTTTGCTGGTTTTGTAGAAGCTAGGAGGAGAAAGTTCCTGGAGACGCAACCAGAAGCTACTACAAACCAAGAACCAGTCCAATTCAGAAGCTCTATCATACCCTGGTGGGCATGGCTCATGAGAACAAATATCCCGGAGGCTGAGCTGCTCAATGGTTATAATAACTCCTCTCACTCACTGCATACATAACTTGTTTGTTACTTCCCAAATTATCTCTCAGCTGCATTGCATCATTCTTTCAGGTCGAGCTGCAATGATAGGATTCTTCATGGCTTATGTTTTGGATGCTTTAACGGGGCCAGATGTTGTTGGCCAAAGAGGCAATTTTATTTGCAAGGCAGGATTGTTTGTGACGGTCATCGGTGTCATACTGTTCAGGCGAACCCAAGATTTCGAGAACCTGAAAAAGCTTGCTGATGAGGCCACTTACTATGACAAACAGTGGCAAGCATCCTGGAAAGATCAAAATGCAAGCTCTGCTTCTTCAGAGAAAATTGGAAATACTTGAAATTTGAGTTCACGTTATTACTTGTTCATTTAGAACAATATAATCATAATTGCAGTAGTATATGGTTCTAATAGAAGTAGTATGATTCTAACAGTCAACTACTCCCCTTAAAGATTTATTAATGGCCTTTTAAGAACCTTATCATCCACATTAATGTTGATGAGATGAGAATATAATGATATAAGCGTGGAATGCATGCTTAACTGTTAAAGGCTGGGTGAAAAGGAAGCCATTAAAGAGTTTTGAGCTCGAGCGGAATCTGCCTCTAAATGCCATTATTTAATGACCTGTTGATATATAACAACGCTTTTGTAGAATCTTTAAGATTTCATAATGTAACAAATGCATAATTAAAAATTGCACTAAATATATTAAAGTTCACTTTGAAAATTTTAAATTATAGATTGATTTATAATTTTTAAGATCTCTGATTTAAAATCTATCTTAAATTTTATAATTTTTAAATTTTTGTATATATAATTAAAACAATCATATGTTAACTTGCCCATCAAATCAAAGGATGACTCTGAAGTGAAGCCTGTCCAAACACATCGGTTTGGGACAACTCATGGGTTGTCCTGAACTCATTGCTCACCCTGGTTTTATGGTCCCATGTTCGGCACAGTTACCATGAGTGAGGCAAGGCAACGTTTTACAAAATACGGAAGCAATATCTTCGTGACAGCAGAGAGTTACCCTTAATCCGAGAGTTGTGTATCCAAGAAAACTCATCCAAATGTGGTGATTTTCTCTTCTCAAGTGGACAAGATATTCAACCAATTTTATAAATACAAATTAAATATAATATACCTTTTTAGGAGGAATTTTGTTCACTCAGGTTAAAATATGAAGCGATGGATGAAACTTATTTAGGTATTTTATAATTTATTTCTAAATGTGGAAAGGCAAAGCTACAAAAGTCGATGACATTTTGTTCCAATTGGCCAACAAAATTCCCGAAACATAAAAGTAACAAAACCAACACAAAATAAAAATAATAGAAGGAAAACCCAAAAAAAAAAATACAAAATAGAAAAAATAAAGTTTTAAACTGAAAAAACCACTTTATTTAATGCATATCTTATTATAAATATATAATATATGTATCTCCAGTCCGCCTCACTAGTCGCTTTCTTTTTCTCCTTCAAGTTTCAGATGCCAATAGAAACAACGGCGACATCGAATCCAAAATGCCGGCTCTCCCCCAAAACCCAAATTCCTCCGCGCGGCTGTTGGCGGACAGCGCGGAGGCGGAGCGGCGACTACTGGAGGCGGAGGAGCGATTGAGGGAGGCCATAGAGGAGCTCCAGAGACGTCAGAGGACGGCGGCGAGTGGCCAACACCCGCCATGCGACCACGCTGACGACTCCTGCGTGGCCAACGCCATTGGTAATCTTTGCCAAAGCTTTCTCCTTTCTTATGGTGTTAGAGTGGGCATCGGGATTCTTCTTCGCGCTTTTAAGCTAGCCAGAAGACAGTCTTTTTCTTCGCTTCTTGATCTCAAGGTTAGGGTTTTTTATGGCAGTTTTATCAAATGTTTTGCTTTGAATTGGTTGTTTTGTAAATTGTGAAATGTTTTCGGAACTGAATTTTTATTTTTTTCCTAATTTATTTTTTATAAAATAATTGATTAGATGGTTTTGACGTATTATTATGTGAACTGAACTGTTTAAAGTGTGGACTTTGTTACTGTTATTTTCCTAATGAGTTGATAAAAATGAACTCATTTTTTTTAAAAAAAAAACAAAGAGAAGAAGAAAGAAAGGATTAAATTTGAGGCTAATAAAGTAAGATGAAATTAGATGGGTTTTGGGTAAATTTTCCGGGATTTTGGGTTTTATTATTTGGCTTTGCAAGGAATTATTATTTAAGAATATGAAAAAATGTGATATTAGCAGATGTTTGAATGTTTGAATTCTGTTTTTCAGCAACTTGTCTCTGAGAAAGATTTGATAGTAAGAGAAGAAGCATGCCGTGTTGGTTTACTTTTTGGTGGCTTCACAGGATCATACCATGCGCTTAGATGTTTACTAAGAAAGCTGAGAAAGAAAGAGACACCAGTGAACGCGTAAGTTTGCTACATAAAGACTTTGCTTTTTTTTTTTTCCCTATAGATGCTTCTCATTGTTTGGTTTATGGTATATGATTAGCTGAATAGTTGAAAATTTTTTATGCATGCTAGAGCCCACTCCTTATTTTTGACATTGTTTGAGGTGGTAATGGAACAGAATTTTAGCAGGTTCAATTGCGGGTTTGTCTGTTTTGGCTTTAGATGATTCAAACCGAAGGCGTACACTTGCACTGTATCTTTTGGCTAGAGTAGCCCAGGTACATGAATGCATTCTAAATTAGTAAATTTGCAAAGCTATCTGAAATTGTTGGAACTAGTTTTCCAATTCACAGTCTAATATTGTGTTTTACTCTTCAGTGTGCTTATAATTCTGCAAAGGCAAAAAATAAGTTTCACTTATGGGGAAGCCATTGGAGGCATGGCGACTCTTTGCTCTTTGCTTTAGCATGTGCCCAGGTAACACTAAGCTCATATTGATTTCATGACTAGATGTTTACTTTATACTTTTGAACTTGTTATTTTATCTCTGTAGATGAATTGATGATAGTGGAACATTCATAACACTAGAAATTGCTTAGTTTGGTGAGTAAAGGGTGTCAAAGAATAGCATTGGCTAAATTTTAGGCATAAATAATACAAGATATTACTCTTTTATTTGTGATGTTCTGGAAATGTAACTAATTATATTCTGTTCCTGTGGCATATTGAATTTTACCTCCAATTATTTGTTTCCACTTTTTCCATTTAAAAATTTATTATTTAGCTGAAGGTTGCTCTTTTCTAACAAATTGGAGTTTGCTTCTGAGGTTAACAAATGATCCAAAAATTTCTTGTGGTTTCGTATCTGCTGTTCACTTACTAGTGTTAGATTGATATCTTTTTCATCATCAACATTTGTTTTTACTTCATCCATTTTACTAATGCTCATAACAGGTTATGTATGCCTTTGTAATGCGTCCCGAGAGCTTGCCAAAATCATATCAGGATTTTATTCAGAAGACTGGTCCTGTTGCAGCTCCTGTATACAAGGCTGTAAGGGAGAACTGTAGAGGTAGTCCAGTGGATGTTGCATCTATATCCGCCTACTTATATTGCCGAGGGAAGACCAATAATGTGAAGTTGGAAGAGTTCCCTTCTATTATTCCTTGTTCTGTTATTCATCCAGACACAAATTCTTGTCTAGCTCACAATGCTAATGCAGCTTCAGCTACATTTAGGAAAACATTTCCGCTATACTTCTCTCTGACATTTGTGCCATTTGTTGTTCTGCACCTACAAAAGGTACATATTGCGTAACATATTGGTTTTCTTTTCTGCATCTGTGTGTGTGGAGGGAGCTTGGCGTTGGTTTTGCATTCTAACTTTCATGTCATATGCTTCTGGTTATAAGAAATAAGCAGACAAGTAGAATAATGGTCTTAATGCATTTTGCGCTCTGTAAAAGGTCCAAACGAGCTTGCCTTTTTTTGCATATGCTTTACCAAAATTGAAACATGTTTTTGTAAAATAAAATGGTGAACCCGGTTTAGTAAATGCTGCATTAATAATGTTGGAAGAGTGGAATGGGAATGATAGGTTTTTATTATTAAGTTTGTCTTCCTATAGCTGAGTAAAATCACTTATGCCTGGAGGAAAAAGGATCAATTGACAGTTATGTCCTTTTGTAATTGAGACAAAATTTCTTTAAGTTGGTTTTGCAGGTTTCTTTTGGTCCATTTGAGCAGCAATTATATATTCTGGCAATCTGTCAATGGCATGACAATTAGTATCAATTTCGAATTGATCCTTTTTTCCTTTTTGTTTGTTTTGCATCATCATGATGCACTTCTAGTTTATGGATACCCCTGCTCGTACCTTTTGGTTTGCTGTTAAAGGTGCTGTTCGATCAACAACTTTCTTGTCTGCATTTGTTGGAATTTTTCAGGTAGCTGGTTTCTCAGTTCTCATTCACTTTTTTCTGTTGTTAAAATCTGTATGAATATGTTCTTGAATATTTTTCTTGTGCAATGCAAGGGGGTTATATGCGTGCATAGAAAGATTGCATCAAAAGACCATAAGCTGGTATATTGGGTTGCTGGTGCTATAGCAGCTCTTTCTGTATTACTGGAGAAAAAAACCAGACGCAGTGAACTTGCTCTATATGTTCTTCCACGAGCAGGAGAATCATTATGGTATATTTTAGTAAACCGGCACCTGCTTCCTGATATTAAAAATGCTGAGGTATTGCTTTAATTTTCTTTCTCATGAGACCTTCTTTGTTGGTCTAAGTGAAATTTGTGTCCATAGTTAGAGATAGATAACCAGCTTTGTTCTTAATATTTCTGGGGCTAGTCACCTTGGTTTGGGTCCTTATTTCAAAAGGTCATGAATTTTGTTGGCATGAATTAGGTGGCTATGTTACAATGTGCTGTTGTTACTCAGAAAGTACTTCCCAGCAATGAATTTTAATGGAGACGTATTTAGACTATGTTTGTCTATGCTATGTAGTCTTGTAAATCCATGATTTATCTAGGTGTTGCACATATAATTGAGACAGAAAGATGGTTTCCTTTGTCTACTGCATCATTATGCAATTAACTGAGTTGGTTTTTTTTTCTTCTAAATTTGGCTTCTGTATTAAGGCTTGCAATCTGTCACAGGTGGCCTTATTTTGTGCATGCATGGGAGGAATCATGTATTACCTAGAATATGAGCCAGATACCATGGCCCCCTTTCTTAGGGGCCTAATCCGCCGCTTCCTGGCTAGCAGAATAAGCAATCCAGGCTCTTCATCTAATCGGACAGCTTCATACACCTACTTGCAGACTCTTGATGCCATGAATAAGCCACAACTACAGGACAACCGAGAGGTCGAAACTTCAACACCTAAACAATACAACCTTGAATCTATACCGGGGCTCTAAGCATGTTTTTGTTGCCTATTATATCACTCTGAAATTCAGTCAACCATCCATTCTTTGTAATTTATATATTCACTTTATTGCTAAAAATATAGTAGTAGAACATTATACAAGGGGATTAGTGATGATGCAGTGCCTGTTAAGGCAAATAACTGAAATAGAGGGATTTATTTGTAATCCCGCTGTAGGTTCTCTGTACTCCACCACAGGAAGATGTCACGGGGTCATTACTCTCTCCCCCATAAACCGACTTATAGGGGTGTGCAGCACACCCGTTTATAAGGAGCTCAGGACCTCTCGTTCTTGTCTGATGTGGGATAGAGGCACTTTCCTTGTGACACTCTCACCCACCCGAATCGGCAACGCCCCCGTTGCTGTCGGTCACCCTGCCTACCCCATTGGGCCTCACTGGACCAGTCCCACTGGGCCGGGCCCTTGGCGTGAGTCAGAACGAGGATCGGTCTGCTTTGATACCATTTTGTCACGAGGTCATTACTCTCTCCCCCATAAACCGACTTATAGGGATGTGCAGCACACTCGTTTATAAGGAGCCTAGGACTTCCCGTTTCTGTCTGATGTGGGATAGAGGCACTTTTCTTGTGACAAAGAGCCGTTGTTATTGAAGAGATATTGAACGCGAGGAAATGATATGTGATGCTAAATGTAAAGATTGTGCAAGGATTTGCCTTTGCCCTCTCTAAATAATCTCAGTTGCAGTCTATTCCACTGATCATTTAGCTTAACAACGCAAGCTTTTTTTTTTTTTTTCTAATTTACATACTTGATTTACAAGAAGGCTTATTGGTGGAGGGGTGAGTTCCTCGAATCATGGTGAAGTCTATGATCATCAATTCAATGGTGCTTTTAAGTTTTTAAACTTGGTTTGAATGGTAATTTGCAATTTCAAATGGATTAAAAAAATTTAGTTCCAACAAAAATCTGGATAAATAATTTCTTTTCCACAATAGTATTGTGAATACAGTTTTTCTATTCAACTACCCTTTGGTGACAAAAACATTGCTATGCTTTGTCAAAGGAGAAAAACTGGAAGTAGTGGGCTGAAACTTCCAGATACTAACTTGATATTCCTGGAAACCAATCAATGACACTCGCACATTTTTTGATTGATCTAACCAGAGTTTGATCAGTCATTGTTAGTGCATATAAGAATAATAAGTTAACATTAGCCGTAGGAACAGGTCAGTTTAGCACTGGTCAACAGGTCTGCAGCAGCCAAAATCCTGGCTACATCTGTCCATTATTTTAATTCTTCTTCTCGGCAGATCTTGGGGAGCACAATATATTATTCGTTCCAAGATTTTTCACTTTGGTTGGGGGAGGTGGCAGAAAGAGAATGATTGCTTCCAGGAAAAGTTACTTCTGCAATCGTTTTATATGCAGGCGTAACTGTGTATTCCCAACGATCAGATATAACATAATTCTATCTGATCAGCATGGATATAAGATTGTTTGATGCTGCTCAGACTGGAAATATTGGCAGCTTGCACCAATTGCTGCGAGAAAATGCCATCCTCCTTGATCAAATAGCTTTATCTGATTAATCATATAAGCCTTGTAAAGAAAAGCTATTATTGTTATTGTTATTGTTATTATTATTATTATCAAATATATTGGCAGGTCTAGAACTGTTTTGCAGTTATTATTATTATTACAGTTTGTACTCAGAAATATTATTAGTATTAGTATGCCGTCATTGCCTTGTCAAAGAGCAATTCTTATCAGTTTTCCCTTTTTATATATGAACGACTAAAGTAAGAGGTTTGACCATAAGAATGATCAGATTTATTACTTGGAAAAATAGATACAAGTAGAATTTGAATGGTATTTAGAAACTGATTCAACTTTACCTTGTATCACCCTTCTAGTCAATCATTTGCAACTTTTATATAAAAATATATTACAAAAGCGTACCTAGTTCTGGTTTTTGTATCTCTCAGCAATGAATTTGCCCCAGTTGCATCCTACTAGGAACTGCAACCATATATTGTTATCTTTTTATTTGAAACTGCCCTGTAAGATACAATCAAATTATATCAACTGCACATGCTTCCAATTTAGCATTCTATTTAGCATTTCTTGTTATACACAAAATACAATGGTAAGAAACCTGAAAAGTACAGGACATAAAATCAGCCAATTTCTGTTTGTATTTTTTTCTTTTTTGTACATAAGCTTTTTTTCTTTTCTTTTATTAGAATTTAGTTGTTGAAGTCCATTCCTGGTTCTGATAACATAGTCTAGTGTCCTACAGCTAGCCAGAAATCTGAATGAGCTTCGTTCATGTTCCTGTTTTGTTTGCTCATTATAGTTCTTTGAAAGTATTTTAAGTTTACCTGGCGTATTAATATGATGTATACTAAAGTCAGCCTAGTGTAAAAGCTATATCCAAAAGTCACGAAGAGAGTAGCATTGGCCTATCTCGCAAGGCATTTGAATACCAGAGTTGGTTCACTAGACAATCAAGAAAGTATGATTTCAGCTTTAATTTTTCAATAATTAAGTTATTATTATAAACTAAGGTCAACTTCTGGTTGCTGGTTCACATGAAGACCTTTTGAAGATAAGTTATGATAATCACTAAAGAAAGTATTAACATTCCTTCTTCCACCAGGACTATTCATCATTCATAAACAGAAAGAAAAATGCCTCCTTTCTGGCAATAAAACCTGTTTTCCTTTCCAAGAAAAACAAGCTTTGTCCTGTCAAAATGGATATAAGGTTGTTTGAGTCTGCTCAGACTGGAAACGTCATGGACTTGCACCAGTTACTGAGAGAAAATCCTTTAATCCTGCACACCATCTCACTTTATTCTTGCGAAAATCCCTTACATGTTGCTTCAGCTGCAGGGCATGTTGGTTTTGTTCGAGAGATTTTGGGACAAAGGCCCCAGTATGCCAAAGAAGTAAATAAAGATGGTTTTAGCCCTCTTCATATTGCTGCTGCCAACGGACATATTGAGGTCGTACGGGAGCTGCTGAGTGTAGACCGGAAACTATGCTGCCTAGAGGGAAGAGAGAAAAAGACTCCTCTCCATCTTGCAGCTATGATAGGGAGGGTTGACGTAATCACTGAAATGCTTTTGAGTTGTGCAGAGTGTATTGAAGGTGTGACAGTTCAAGGGGAGACTGCTCTACACCTTGCCACTAAGAACAGCCAGTTTGAGGCAGTCAAACTTATGGTTGATTGGATTATAGAGATGAAGAAAGAAGGCGTCTTAAATCTTAAGGATGAGCAAGGCAATACAGTTCTGCATCTAGCAACCTGGAAAAAACAACGGCAGGCAAGAATTTTCTCATATTTACTTCAATATTTGCTATTCCTATATTTAGTGCTGACTTTTTCTGCTGATGCCACACATTTTTATCCTTTAGATGATGTTATCTTGTATAAGAGACACAAAGTTGAATACTCTAGATGAAGTTAGTATATACATTAATGTAACTGTAAGGCGCTGCTGGGAAGAAAGAATCCGGATTTCCTCATCTGTCAAAACTGACCTTTTCTTGGTTATGAGTTTAACCCATTTGTTTTTCTTGTTTTAACATCCATCTGTTCATAAAATGGGAAATATTTCTAGGCTATGCTCCTAGACACATTGATTCCTTCCTTTTGTATACCAAAACTAGCCAACAATCTATTTTTGTGTCAGTGTGTTTTCTATCTAGCACAAGTATAATACCAAATAATGAGATGATGTTTCTGTTAGTGAATGATAGGTAATATTGTTTCAGGTCATAGAATTAGTACTTGGCACTGGAACAACAGTTACTTCAGGCTTGCTGGAAGTAAATGCAGTAAACCAAAGTGGTCTTACCGCCCTGGATGTCCTACAGATTTTTCCTAGTGAAGCCGGTGACAGAGAAATTGCTGACATTCTTCAACATGCTGGAGCCGTGAGAGCTAGAGATGTTATGATCTCTCCAACTTCTTCCTGCGAATCTCCTAATCAAACACCGCAGAGATCACAAAGGCAGACAGAAAACTTGGTGGAGTATTTCAAGTTTAAGAAGGGCAGAGACCCTCCCAGTGAAGCTCGCAGTGCTTTATTAGTGATAGCTGTTTTGGTGGCAACTGCCACGTTCCAGGTTGGACTCAGCCCTCCAGGCGGCACTTGGCAAGATAATAGTTCTCCAAACCAGAGCAATGGTACCAGCATCCAAAGTGCATACTCTGCAGGGACCTCCATCATGGGAACCAGCAACGGAATTGCTTTCGCACTATTTGTGCTTTTCAACTCGATAGGTTTTTCGATGTCGCTTTTCATGATCAACATCCTCACAAGCAAATTCCCATTGCAATTTGAGCTTCAAATTTGTATGATTGCAATGTTTTTCACATACAACACCGCGATGGCTAGCACTGCACCTAGTAGCGTAAAGCTCTTCGTCATCATAATTACGACAGTCTTGTCTTCGATCACACCACTTCTAACCAGGTTGGTGAAACAACTACTAAAGCTGTTAAAAAATCTTGTAGTAGACATTATCCACAAAGTGACTTGAAAAGTGGATGGGAGCAAAATGAAATGCCAATTTGGAACTTGGAATGTAGTTATTTGATTTTTGCTATTATCACTCTTCAGGACGAAATGGTCAGTTTTGGTGGTTTTACTGTCAATTATTTCTCATATAACACCATTGTCATCAATAGTTCATGGTGCACCTACCTATCCATAAACTCCTCATGTTCTGTATCAGTAGCAGACAATTTGCATCCTTAACCTACTGTCCTACTCTGAAGTCTGCTTTTTGAGTCATCGCATCTAAAAACATCATATTTTTGCTATTTGTGCTTTAGTCTACAGACTATAAGTATTTAAATTGTGTTAAATCAAACAAGAGAGAATAAGCAAGTAATGAGACAGCTTTCGGCAGCGAGATCAGCAGGCCCACTTCTGGCAGAATTCTTGGAAAAGCTGAAAACCAACACAAAAGGAAGGAACAAGACTACTGCAAATGGCCTCCATTACCCTTTCCAGAATATTTGCACTGCAAAGATATCCTGCAAGGCCAACCATCATACAGACCTTGTCGGTTCCTATTACACAGATTTCTAGTAGATCATCTTTATCTGCTTAAGTGTTGATCCATACCTATATTTACAGTTAGGTTCTTTCCAAACTTCTCAACGGTATTAATTTACAAGAAAATAACTTTCCGTTGCAGAAGATCCTGATCGACATATACATCTTTCATTGCTGTTGCAGAAACTTGACAGCTTTCTTTTATGCTTATCTACTCGACGTGGTACGGTTACAACAAAATGGTTCCTTTATGTGTCACATTATAGCTCCAAGTAGGACTATAGTCGCAACAGATGATTCCACAAAACAAGGAGCTCAGAATGTTAAAGGAAGCCCAGTTACCGAGATTGGTGGCAAAGCTTTCTCCACTAGAAAACAATAAAGTACTATAACCAATGTAATCAAACCCAAAGGAAGACATTTCGGAACACACATGTTAGCAACATGCAGAGAGAAAATGTGTGTATGGTGGTCGATGAGGACCTAAAAGCAGGTTCTTTATCTGGACTTTCACAATAATCCGATCTGGTAACATAATTTAAACAAACTACAAGGCTATACCACAAGAGGTTGAAGAAATTTTATAGTTCATCAGGAGATTTACATATCTTATATGTTTTCTTACCAATTTTACACTCAATGCCACCAAATTTAGTAGTACAAATACGATTCTGTAAAGAACCTCCAAAGCTGGATGTTTTTGTTTCTTCCTCGACCACTTCCTTAAGGGGACCACTAAGGTCTCCCAGTGCCCAAGCCAAGGATATATGAGGCCGTGGATCCTGTGATCAATGAAATATACGATACATGATCATTCCTCTAAATTTTACAAGTATTTGTTAGACTTGGCAGTGAATCATAACAACCAAACCTTATAAAACTCAGGAAGATTGTGAAGTTTGTAAACTTCATTAACAGCCTGAATTTGCTTAGTTATCTGAAAATTAATGGCAACCAAGTAAATACCATAATCTTGGCAACAAAATAACAGTTAAATATAGAGAAGAAAAGAAAAAAGAACTGCAAGATGAGCATGCCAATTTTAGCCTACATACAACAACTATCCTACTCAAGCAGCTCTTAAATACTTAATTGTCTGAAAGTGAGAACAGAACAAATCCCCAACTAGTATGACAACCAGAACAACTAAACATGCCGTAGAGTTTTTCTCTCCAATTTGAAGCAACAATCTCTAAACTTTTATGCCATTTTAAAGCTACTACTTCTCACTTTATAATCATAGAAATAAAAATGTATAAATCAATTTTACAGCATAGTCAAATACAAAATAATAGATGCAAGCATGCTCCCAAGTGCAGACTCATTGGCCGTCCTGCTCAACAGGTAAATAATAAACCAATAGTAGTATATAACAACTTAACGGGCAACAAATAACGAAAACAGTTATTTAACCTGTTATCTCCTGGAATCTAAAACATGTATTTATACTTTTAAGTAATTACTTATTTATGAATGATAATATTAGAATGTATAGTCAAATATCTAACTTAAACTTCCACTTCTCTCAAGAAAACGTGGAAAGAAAAAGTTTTTGTGTTTCAACATAAGATGCATTCCTTGAAAATCTAAGCATATCTATCCAAAATGAAATAGGCAATGATGCTACGCCTTTTGTGCTTTCGTCCTCTTTCTTTTTCTCTTGTTTTTTTTTCTCTTGGGATTTCCACACATATAAACAATGAATGATCAGACAGCATAAGCATGCTCAATATGTGAAGCAATTATCATTGCAGTGAAAAAAGAAATGAAATTCAGCACACTTACCTCAGCTAATCCTCCCGTAATAACTTCTAGTGAAAGAAAGGAGCGTGTGTGATCATCATTGACAAAAACCTCCCATTTGTTAAAATCAATCCAATACCTACTTGCAATTAAAGAACAGTTCAAAACCATATCCTGGAAATCCATACAGAGATTTTATAAATTGAAACAGTATATTATCAAAAAAAAAAAAAAAAGAACTAGCATAAACTAAAGAACAACATCTAACCGCTTTTGAAACTGAAGCTTCTGGCGAAGCATTGTTACTATAGAGTCAATCTGGTGAACTCTAATAGGAACAGTCCTTCCTAGACTTATGTGGAATTCCCTTCCCAAAGCAACTTGTTCAAGTTTATCTTCCTCTTTACACAGAATATTCAATGGAACATCAACGTCGACAACATGAAGACCGGGCACAAAGGTTGCAACCCTCTTCAAAAACCTACCCATCTCTTTTTTTGATGAAGACGGTATATTAACTGAAATGACACAACCAAAAAACACTCTTTAAGTCTAGCAGCTCAAGGCATTCATCATTAATGAAGAAAAGTAACAATTCGTTTTAAGCAACAAAGGCACCTGGGATATAGACGTGCAAAGCATAGTTGCCTTCGACGTGAGGGAAGCTTCTGACTCTACTGGGCTGACCAGTTTGCAGGTAATCCAGAGACCCTTGCATTGTCAAGAAATAGAAACAAATAGTTGGTGGGCACAAAAAATTAAAAATTAGTAACAGCTAACAATGGGAAGGTGATTGTAGTTTGAACTACCAAGGGCATTAGGAGGGTCGAGGAGAGAAAGAGGAGGTGGAGGCAGACGGGAAGATAGTGTCTCCTCTGTTTGGGTTTTCGATTTGGTGGGAAGAGTGGGTGGAGAGGAGGCTTCGGAGTCTGAGTCGGAGGAGGCGTCTCCGTATGTTGCTCTTAGAGCTTCCATTTCGAACGCTCGAGATCGTTACTTTTGCTGCACAGTGCCACGGTGATAAGCTGCCCGACAACTCTTCTGTTTTCGAGGTTCCCCGCTACGGTTTGGTTCCTTGCAAGATTGCTCCTTTTCTGCGGGACTGCCGTCGGTTAGAGGTCTTAACTACACAACTCGAAACGCATCCTTCATTCTATAGCCTTTCGTAGGCGTTGTTTTGGATTTTTTTATAAAAAAATACTTCTAGTGCATAGGATTTTCATTGTGATTTCTTTTTATTAAGTTCTGAAAAAGAATAGAGATGAAGTTGGGTCAGACCGAACCGAGTTGATATGGTACAAAACTTGAGCTCAACTCGATTAAAAATCTTTTAAGACTCGAACTTGTCTTGAAAAATAATTAAGTTACTTGAGTTAGACTGATTATCATTAATTTATGTTCAAAATTAAAATTTCACTTGAGTTTGGAATAAAAACTTAAAATAAAATTTTAAAATATATAAATAAATATTAAATTTTATTTACATATATATAATATTAAAAATAGTTTTTTAAAAAAAAGTTAAAAAGGTTATAGGCTCTTAAACTACTTGGGTGGAGTATTACAAATCTTGAATTTGACTTGGTTTGGATTTTTTTTTATTTCAAGTTTGTATATTCTCATTGTGATTTCTTTTTAAGTTTTAAATATGAATAAGGGTGTAATTGAGGCGAATCGAGTTAATACGGTACCAATTTTGAGTCTAATTTGATTAAAAATTTTAGATATAATATTTAAAAAAAACTCTTAAAGTATTTAAATACTTAAACATGTAAATAGCATTAATACCTAAATATAAAATATTTAAAATGTTCTTCTTCTTTTATCACTTTTTTCTTTTCTCTTAAACTGATCGATGACACTTCTTTACATTGATTAATCAAATCTAACAAAATCTCTTTAAAAGAATACAAGATCTGATTGTGCACCCTAGATTTTGGACCCCTTTAGGAAGAACCGTTAGCCGTAGGATGGTCGATTGAGAGTATTCATTTTTGAAAAAGAGAAAAAAAATAAATAAAAAGAAAAATATAGTTTATATAATAAAAAGTTTTAAAATTAATAAAAAAAATTTATTTTAAAAACTTTGTCACATAATCAAATTAACGAAAATATTGACAATTGACTAACCACATGACTTATGTGCCTAATGAAAATATTTTTTTGAAACGACATTTTAAAAACTAATGAATTTGCATGTAATTATAATAAAAAATTAAAAAGATTAATATATTTTACTTTAAATAAATTATCATATCTAAAATGAGTCAATCTACATAGATTAATCATATTTCAAAATGATAATCCTATCATGTCATTTAATTTGTATAATAAACGTTTTATGCTAGTCTTAAAAATTTTAAGACAATTAATTAATTATACTGAATTTGTATAATTTTATTATCTTTTATATATTATCTTTGCAAGACATGACATGTTAACATGAATTGGTAAAGACAAGTAATAAACAGTGCAAGTGGGCTTTGTTGGCCGTTAGAAGCCCAAACAAGTTTTTTTTTACGTCCATTCAAACATAAGAGGCGAAGCTCAAAAGCTCGAGGCCCATAATTTGAACTTTCCAATTTCAAGAGGGAAAAACCAGAAACGTTCTTCAAGAATCAAGACACCACTGCCCGCGACACCAATCCCTCCACCCATCTCGCAACAGTTCTTGTCACCTTCCAGGTTTACCCGTCGAACTATCAATATGTTCTGAACTCTCGACCAACTCAGCCATAATCAAAGGCAAATGTCCAAAGAAAATGTTAGTTTCACGCCTCTCTCGCCTGCGAACCAGACCCCGCAGCTACAAAGCCCTCGGATTTCTCAGAATTTCAGAACCGCCAAGCCTTTCCTCGTTCGTAAGCGGACTCACGATGACGGATATTTTACCGATCATTTTCCTTACAGGTAATCCATTTTCCGTTAGGTTAGGGTTTCCTGTCTTTTCAATCGCGAGAAAGCTGTGGAAAGAAATTAGGGATTTTATGTCACATGTTCGATAGTTTTCCTGTTTGTTTCCTGATTGTAGAGCTGAGGCATTTTCCAGTTCTAATTTGAAAATCTTGATGCTCTGTTTTATTGTGGAGAAGACTTTTACATCTTACTAGCTATTTTCCAAATAACTTAGTCTAGTTTAAAAGCAATTCTTACACATTAGAAAAGAGAGGATGTGATGTAACACATCATTTGCGCCTTCTTTTTCTTGCATCACCCCCCATCCTTAGAAAAATCATCAATGTTATAGGTTATGTTTAAAGTTGTTCTGATTCTTTGAACTTGTCCTGCAGTTGTGTTAACAGAAACTTGTGTTTATTCTATTTGTTTTTGTTCCAGATCTAAGGATGGAATTGATAATGAATTGCCATCTTTAATTACTGGCGTCAAGAGAGTTCCTCTTATGGAGATACCTATGAACACACCATCACCATTTTCTACTGCTGGATACAAGTCAATAAAGAATCAAAATGGCGAGTTTTCTAATGTCAGACCCATGGCTGGTTCTATGGACACTGAATGCATATCTGATCCTTTTATAACCCCTACAAAAAAACCAGATTTCTCTAATTTAAGTGATTCTTTCTTGACACCTAGCCTTCTCGATGAGGATTTTGATGAATCTATATTGGAAGAAATCGATGCTATATGTGAGCAGCAGTCTGCAGCAAAAGCAGAAAGGGAGGATCTAAATGTCAACATCGACATGAGAGGTCAGCAATATGACTATAGTTGTAGTGATCATATTGCTTCTTCGACTCTCACTACTAATGAGAATGTAAGAGCAGAAAGTGCAGTAGATACCAGGAATTATTTTGGGTTAAAAGAGGATGATCTAAGCACTTTGGGGACAGCACAGAGTGGGGGCATGCCCGACGAATATTCAAAATACTTGCAATCTTTGAATGATAGACAGTGTGATGCAGCTTGTAGTAATATAAAAATTCCTTTAATGATTGCTGCTGGTCCAGGAAGTGGAAAGGTCTCTTCCTCTCTCAAATTCTCATAATAGACTGACACATTCGTTCATTGAACTTATCTTTACAATAGTTCATTTCTGTTTGTTCATTTATAGTAACAGCTGAACTATCTTCTTTATTTTAGACTTCCACAATGGTTGGGCGTGTTCTGATGTTGCTTAATGAGGTATTCATTGTTCTTTCTTTGATAACCATTGCTTTGTCTGTTTAATTTGCTCTTTATTTTTTTCCTTTTAATTTTATTTTGTCAGTTGTAGCTGGAGACATCCCCTGACTTGTCCTTTTTTTCTTCCTTTTAACAACATAAAATATGTGACTTCTTAGAAGATTCAAAAGATGCACTAATTTTCTATCACTACCAGGTTATCCACTATTCTGTTCTTTTGACTAGTTGATTTTTTTTTTTATCTCCAATCCTCTAAAACATTGTCAGGGTGTTAGTCCATCAAACATCTTGGCAATGACTTTCACTACAGCTGCAGCTTCTGAAATGAGAGATCGTATTGGTGCAGTGGCTGGGAAGGCAACGGCTAAAGAACTTACAATTAGCACATTCCATTCATTCTCTTTGCAGCTGTGTCGTTCACATGCAGAAAAGTATGCCTAAGCTTCTTTAATGTTTTCCAAACTCAATGAGTGCATTTCCTTTTGGATACTCTTTTATCACAAGATAATTAAATCCTCAGTATGTTTTTAATTTCCTTTTTCATGCATTTTGAAAACCTGATTGAATCTCCAGTTGGCGTTTTTAATGTTTTATAGTATCTGAAAGTGCGAAACTTATAAGCATTGAGCCTCTGAATGGCGTCCAAATACGATGCACTTTAATTATTAAAAAGTCAGTGAAAACCAAGGGCTGGAAACATGCACTAGTGTGTGTGAGAGAGAGAGAGCTCTTGTCACTGCTTTGTTTCTTTTTCAGAGGACTGCTGGCATCAGAGGCAATGGTTTAGAATGGAAGATAAAATACGTGGTTGAGGCAGAATTGAATTAAATGTAGCTCTGTAAAATTTTTTAACTTTTTTTTGTCATATCTGTATCTGACATATGTGCGTCTTTGTTATAGGTTAGAGCGTACATCAGAGTTTCTAATTTATGGGCATGGGCAACAAAGAAGAGCAATCATTGAGGCAGTGCGGTTATTAGAAAATCAAAAAAGTGGACAAAAGTATGAAGCTTGCAAGTCGAGCACAACTGAAATTTTAAATGGTGAGAGACATCCAGAATATTTTAAGGACAAATCAAAGAAATGGCAGAAGTTTGTGACTCAGGTTAGTTATTTGTAAAATATCTGTATGTGCATATTTTAAAATTCATCTAATATTTCTGATGCAAAGAGTTTGCTTGCATTGACTATTTGCTTTGGTCTTCTGTCATTTTATTTTCTTGGTGCACTTGGTCAAGGCTAGAGGGTAATGGGGACTTGAACCTTGGATGTTCACCTTTCATTGGAGGGTTACCAACCACTAGGGAAAGCGTATTTTGACGTCATTTTATCGACTCGTTTAGTTTGACATGTTGACTTGCTGTTTTCCACTGCTATACAATTTGTCCTTGTTTGGTAGACTGGAGTTAGCTTAATTTCTTTATCAGAGAAGGTTGCTGCCCTTTTGTTCATCACTGGAATAATTTATTCTGTGGCAATGATGCATCTTTTTAGAATCACCAAAACCATGAACTTTGCCCATATTTTATATTTGTTTGTAGCTTTTTTTCGTCATGTGGAGCTAGCAAAATGTTTCTTTCTTTTTGTGGAATTTAAACCTTATTATTCGTCATTTCAGGCAAAAGCTTCTGGTAAGACTCCGGAAGAGTGCCGTAAAATGGGTGATGAAATAGGAGTAAGCTGATAAATGCTGTTTCATAAGTTCTTTTTCCTAGTTTTGCTTATGTTCGTGTGATTCTTAACTCTACATCTGAATCAGGCTGCAGTTCTTGGAAATTACAGTGACATATTAAGGTCTTGCAATGCTTTAGATTATCATGACTTAATCTGTTGTTCAGTGAAGCTGCTCACACAATATCCTGAAGGTTCATACAATAGAATACACGTAGTCAATTTGTGCAACTATCTTTTTTTATTCATTTGCTGAAAACTTTTTGCTTTTTCCGATTTTAAGTGTTCAAGGAGTGCCAAGATTCATGGAAAGCCATCATAGTAGATGAATTTCAGGATACCAGTGCAATGCAATACAGTCTGCTGCGGATTCTTGCATCCCATAACCACATAACAATTGTTGGTGATGATGACCAGGTTTACCTCTTTATCTTCCACACCTCCATTTTAGGAAGTTGACTCTTTTTTTATTTTCCTTCTTTCCCCATTGGTGCTCTAAGTTTTACCAAGTTCCTTTCCCAACTATGCTAAGCCAATGGCTTCTATGTTACTTCAGTCAATTTTCAGCTTCAATGGAGCTGACATTTCTGGTTTTGATTCATTTCGCAAAGATTTTCCAAACTACAAAGAGGTCTGACCACCTGCTCTTCAACACCTATGTATTCTACATCTCATTACAGAATGAAGTTTGTTAATTTACATCATTATTGGTTTTGATTCCCAAATTTCACATGCATTAATCATCCAGATAAGACTTATCAGAAACTATCGATCCACCCGCTGTATCGTTGAGGCTGCATCATGTCTTATACAAAATAATACAAAAAGATGCCTGTCAAAGAATTTTCTTTCTGAAAATTCCTATGGATCTAAGGTATGTTAATTGTGCCATTTTCTCCTTAACTTTAATGTTTTCGAATTTATGTTTAGTTCATAACCTTTCTTTCTTCTTTGTGGTTTGATTGAAAAAACATAGATCACTATCAAGGAATGTTACAACGAGGATGCACAGTGTGCCTTTGTCGTTGACAAGATTTTGGAAACTGCATCTAATGGTACAATTGCTAGTTGCTCCTATGGGAAGATTGCAATTCTTTACCGGAGACAGGTCAAGCTTACTCTCCATAGTTTAAACATGATGAAACTTTGATTATAGTTTGTAGATATCTACTGAAAAATTGCAGCTTCAACTTGTTCTACAGGTCTCGGGAAAAGTTTTTCAAACTACTTTCCGTAGCAGGAAAATACCATTTAATCTTCATGGTGTGGCTTTTTACAGGAAAAAGGTTGCGAGAATTCTTTGAAATTCCTCTTCTATAGCATCTATGGTAGTTAATTTGTTCCCAACTTACATGTTGATGAAACACTAATCTCTTGACAGGTTGTTAGAGCTATTATTGCAATGCTTAAAACAGCATTGCCTGCTTGTGATGATGGTGCCTATCGTAAAGTATTCAAGGCTTTGCTTCCTTTTGAAAAAGAGGAAAAGAAGAGGGTACATGTTGCAATTGAATGTGTATATGCATATTCTTGCTTTTCAAAAACTCCTTTCTTCAGACTTATGTACTCAGCATGGTCCTCTGATATCTGAAAAAATTGCTTCTCATGCTCCCTTTTGCAGGTAATTGAACATGTAGAAAAAATTGCAGCTTGTAGAAAATGCAGCTTCATATCAGCTGCCAGTGACATCTTTAGTGCAAAGATTTCTGGTACCTTCAAGAGGTTTTCATATCTATCTTCCTTCAATAATTTTTCCTCTTTGTTCTTGTCTGATTAAACACTAGAAATCCGTTGAAAAATTAACTTCTTGATAATGATTGCTGGCTGTAGTCTGTTAGGCTGCTTACAATAGTGCTGAGTTTACTTTCTATAAATTAAAGTCCTGCTGCCATTGTCCTTGCTTCTCAGCAGTTTACTGCATTTGGAAAAGATGAACGATTGACCTAATAGTACTTAATGAGACCCGCATCTTGTACGTTTTTGAGTATATGGTTTCTATATATACCAGTCTGAATGCTGGTGCAAAATTTGACACTTGAAATGGAAGTGGGAAAGCATACGTGAGAAAATACCTGAGTTGGATGAAGTTAATTAGTCCAAAGAAAGTACCCACATATTGATTAGTTGTCTTGGTTAAAAGGGTTATTGCCAATTGTTGACGTTGGGCTACTTGAAAGTTTCTTATTCTCACTCATGTGGGATCAGGTCCTGACATAACATAATGTTGAATAGTAAGTATTGTTTGGAGCTGGTGACCTTCTGAAATAAAAGTGAGCAAGTGGCTAGGTGACCTTTTTAAACCTGCATAATTAATACGGAGTAGCTATCAAAACATAGGGTTAGATTTTTTAAAGTTTACTGCTTCAACACCATTGTTTAAATAAATGACACAGCCACTTCTTTTGGTGGATTGAGCATGTAGAAAGTTGCTTATCTCTGTGCCTTTTTTTGTCCAATAGACTGCCTGTCTAATCTCTGCTGAACATACTTAAACATGATTTCTGCAATTGATCACAGAAGTCAACTTACACAAGGTCGTAAAGTGCTACTGACACTGGGAATGATATCAAAACTTGTTCAGAGGGTAAGTTTATCGGTTATATTGTGGCAATTACTGGGATATTTCATCAATATTTATTCCCATTATTAGAAGAACAACCAAATTTTATGGATGTGGTGAAAATAAAGGCAAAATGAACTGCATCTTGTGGTGGTTTATGACCTGTGGAAGACACCTTTTGTTTCCAACCTGTTTGATGTTTTTCTCTGCTAGACTCAAGTGCTTCTTCAGAGACAAATTTTGATACTAGCTATGCTTTGTTCTGAGTCAGATAATAGACTCACATGCTTCTTCAAAGACAAATTTAGATACCAGTCAAAACTTACTTTTCAGGGAAGTTCATCTTAGTTATTGTCATTTTGCAGGAACAATCAATTTCAGCAGTCATAACTTCAGTATCAAACATGATACCTCAGGTTTGCTCATCTGCTCCCTGTCTTAAAACTTTTACAAATAAATTGGCATAAGATTATTTTGCTATTTTTCTAAAAGATATTGTTGCTAAATTAAATTGCATTGTCATCAACCGAATATTGATAAATGCTTTCTTTCCCTCCGCTTATATTACCACAGACATATCCAAGCTTCTGCTCATTCAAAATTTCCAGTTTTCATCCTCTATCACATTAGTTTAAGGTTCTAAATGCTTTCACAATCTCTCTTTATGACCTATTGCTAATCAGCTTGCTCTTTTGACCTTTAATCGAATTCCTCTTATAATTTTTTTCAGTCTCTCTGTGCCTTTGTTGATTTTATTTAATTCATAAAAGAGAATTATACCTCTGAAGAGTGTGACACATGCTAAAATGAGATGGCTTTTCTCTTTAATGTCTCATTGCCATTTCATGGTTCTGTTTATACTGACATTTCAATCATCCACTGATTTGGTCAAAACTTTCAGAAATATCTTCTTGAACAACGAGCAGTTATAGACGTTGATGGAGGAAAATTGCTTAATGAGGACAATGATGTCAGATCTGTAAGTTACGAGATTCCATGCTGATGCTGCAACTTATATTGAAGTTTTTATTTGTTAGGATATTTAATCTGTATTTGTTGTTAGACCAGGACAAACCCTTATTTCGGTTTTGTTTTTCTTTTTTGTTCAGGCTATTTTTTCCTTTTATTTTTCTTATCCATATGGTGATTATATGACAGTAGAGTTAATTGTCTGTATGTGACTGTGGCCCTCTGGTTGGATAAAATCTGAAGATAGTGCTGGTTTACTTTAATTGTTTTTGTTGTATCTGGTGGTACAGAGTTCAGTATTTAGAATCTTTTTCACCTTAGAGTCATTTATGCAGTCACCAAGCTGCACATCTGTTCAGCTTATAACTCATCTCTAATAATTTCCACCAACTTTCTTCTTTCAAATGCTAAATTTACATCCATTGATGAAAGTTCTATGATCAATTCAAAGTATACATATTTCATTGGTCCACCTTGCAGGTTCTTCAGTACCTACTAGATGATGTTTCTGATTTCCTGTCTACCCAATTTACTGACAGAGAAGAGAGGAGAGAGACTGGAGAGGAAAAAGGCTGTGTCAGTGTACTAAATTATTTCATTGACTACATAACTGAGCGTGAGAGAGAAAATTTTCGTTCTCAAAGACATGACAATGAAAATTCTGTTACCTTGACTACCATTCATCAGGTTGTCTATCTCCTCAGCAAACATTCTTCTTATTTGTTTTGAGGATTCTCATATTAATGTCCTTCTGGAGTTGGTGAATATACTTTTCTGAACTTTCTCTTTAACTTACTATGGTGTTTGCAGTCGAAAGGCTTGGAATGGGACATGGTCTTCATAGTAAAGGTATATTCCTATCTTAATTTGTTAATGCTAGTTGACCCCTTACGGAAACAACTGCTGCAATTATTCTATTCAAAATGACATCACGTGAAAATTTATGATGTCACCTTCACTGATGCCTTTCAATTATCATTATTTATATCTAATAGATGATGCTATAATACAGGCAAATGAAACAGAGATTCCTTTGATACATGAATTCAATGGTGCTGCAACTGAAAATGGGACATCAATAGAGGTGCGCTTTTCCCAGGCTTAAAAGTTGACAATTCATTCTACTATGTTAATGTTTTAATCATGATGAGTACTAATTTGCAAACAAATATATTTAGGAGGAAAGACGCCTGTTATATGTGGCAATGACCCGTGCTCGTCAAAAACTTTTCATTCTGTATGTTACAATGGATTCGAATTGGCAGGTTTGAACTATTTGAAGCTTTAGCTATATGGTGTTTACTTTTTTCAATTTGGAGGTAACATTGTGGCAATTGCAGATGCTTCAACCTTCACGGTTTCTTAAAGAAATCCCAGATCATCTTCTAGAAAGTCAGGTAGTTATAGCTAATTGAGAAGTTACATAAATTATTATCTCAATAATGTTGGCTCAGTCCTCTGATGTTGCTGCTCCTTCTATATGGCATATTAGTTCATTTGCATCACAGAAGTGCATAATATACATCAGGTATGAAAGTGATTATTTATTGTACAAATTTAAAATTGTCTGTCATCTTCATGGAATTTAAAAAAAAAAAAAGAATATGAAAATGCATTAAATTATTTATTTCAACTCTCAAAAGATATTAACCTACATCTCTCATTTGTGTGCAGTTAGAATTGTTTTCTAGATTTTGTAATACTTGAGTTTGTGTGAACCATTATCTAGATTGTGCAATACTTGAGTTTGCTAACACATTCTTTCTTGTGTGAAAGAATTGATTCCCTTTACTGGTAAGATAATTTGCTGCATGAGGAATTTCTGGAATGGGTGTTTTGGGTGTCATTTATGCAATGGGTGCAGGAAAAATAGTTGTTGGGTGGATTTACAGGCTGCTGTCATTTTCTGGCAGATCAAGGCGTGGTGAATGCTTTGTGTGGTTTTTGCTGAGATATACTTTATCATAGTGAAATCACCTGTTGATGACTTAAGAACTCTTTTTGGCTAAATATATGTTTTTGGTGAAATGTTTCTGGCATAGATTGGAACCGCACAGGGTGGGCTTTCATTTTGTAAGAGAGGGTTCAGGCAATGGTTGTATAGGGTGGGTGGTTTTTATGGGTCAAACTCTGTTTTTCCTATGTAAGGCTACAAACTTATGTAACCCCATTGAATTATTGAATCAATGAAATAGTTCAAGGCTTAGCAAAAAAAGAAAAAAATTAGCTTTTCTTGTAGGTTCCATTTTTCTTTGGATGGCATGTACTTCTTAGTATAACCTCTGAAAGCATTGAGTGATACATAGCTAAATACAGATTAAGTAGGTATTGGAACTTGCACTTTCAGAAGTGCAGAATTATTTGTTACTGAAAGTCTGAAGCTTTATTCACCCTTTACTGACAAAGCATAAATGTTTTTTCCACATAATAATGATCAAATCATTTCACATCTGACCAGATGTTTTTGTGTTTACTCTCGTTAGTTTCCATGCCAGAATGTTTTTTGAGTTGATGGTGCTCACTTTGATTCCACATTTTAAATGGATATATGATGTAGGCGGAAGCAAGCATGGATGTTTTGAAAACCACACATCAAGACATTCCAAAAGAAACTGGACAGTTTACCACTGAACTGCTAAGTGATATGCAATCGTCTGTAGCCAACATGGTGCCAGAGAATTTCCTTGACGCTCAAAATAATGCAGCCTCAGAAGAGTCTGCAGAATTATTTAAGGCATGCAGTGGAAGTACCTTTTTAACAAGGTTTTCCCTCAAACTGTAATGGATAAAGTGCTTTATGTAAATGCATCTTTCCTTAGCTCTTGTCATTTTCTTGCAGATTCAGTGTGGAGGAGAGATCAATCATCTCCCACTTATTCCATCAATGGGCTAAGAAGCAAGCCTTTCAAGAGCCTAGGAGGTTGCTTGATAAGGTAACCTTGGTTCAAATGTGAGGAAGGGTAGAGAGGCTCCCTTGTTTCCAAGTTTCAACAATATTCCTTTAACATCAATCCATGTCTCATCACTGAGATATATATTACCTTTTGTCTTCTTTTTTTTTTCCTTTTCCCTCTTATTTGTTTGATTGGAAGAGGGGGGGATGGGGAGGCTTAGATGTTTGTATTTTATGAAAAGGTTATGGACAGACTTTAGCCTTTAACCTAATCTCCATTTTAGTTTTCTACTAATAGCATCTTAGTCTAGAGCAGACTGACTCTTTTCTGTTTTACTTGACTCCTGCCACGATGAACTGCATGTGATGTGAATATTTGAGTGTGGTTTTTAACCACTATTTTTTTCTTTGACTTATACCTGCAGGTTCGCTTTGTAATTGATGAGCGCCTGAGGGTCAAAAATTATAAACACAAGGTCACACCAGTTCTCCATTAACAATAGCCTGTTAATGCTCCATTAGCCCATGGCCTGTTCATATTAATCTAATCTGTGTACTTTTACTGTTATATCAAATAAACTCTCTTCTGGTTTTGAGCAAAAAAGCAAAAACAAAAATAAAAGAGAAAAGGAAACCTCCCCGGTTGCATGGTATGTAGTCTCTTTATGGGAACTTTCCTGCTGGATCGTCCCTGCTCTTAATTATGTCCCCAATTACCCGAACTGAAAGGGCAAAAAAATGTCATTGGCCAGATTTGGCCCCCAGCAGGGAGGCTTCCAGGAGGAACAATTAGGATTTGGTTCAACCAATTTTGATTTCATATGTCTGTGCAAGATGCAGATTATTCTAACAGTTACACGTTTTACATTATTTATCAGGAAGCTCTGCGTGGATTAAGGTCATGTTTGAGCTGTGAGGAAGCATTTCACTACGCAGAATATGTAAGTATATATTGCTGCTCTCAACAGTCGGATTTCATATAAAAAGATGGAAAGGATGTAATTGACATCTATGATGGCCGACTTTTCTTGCGAGCTTTCTTATTCTGTACAAGTTAATTGAATATTTCTTAATACCTATTTCGTTTGATACAACCATAAGACGTTAAGTACGTCCTTTTACAGGTAGTGAGGTGGGAGCAAATCCCTGCTGATAAGCGTGCTCACTTGATGCGGGAGAAACAGGTTTGGGTTTTTTAAGATTCTGGGTTTCTGTTGTAGATTTTCTTACTTGTTCTCAAAACAAAGTAACATCCTATTTAGAGATTATTAAAATATTGATGTCTTCGTTCTCTTTTACTTCTGAAAATGTAGCTATTTTTTCATCTTCTAGGAGCATTTCCAGAAACTAAGGATGGAGAATTCGATGGGTTCATCAGCAGCAACATCTAAACAGGTATGTTAAAAATCTTTCATTTTACTAGTACTTCCCATCTAGCTACTTCATGAGTCATGTAACTTCTCATCTCAATGACTTCATTATCCATTCAAGGTATTTATGATCATTGGCTCGTGTCTCGTGAAACCTTGCAACTTCGTCTAGCCACATGATGAGGCACATGAAACTTGAAAGATAAAGCATTTAACGCTGCACAAGATTGAGTTCACGCCTTGAACTATGAAAATGCTTGATCATATCATCCGAACTCCATCATTTCCTCTCATAGTCATGAGTCATGGCATTGATTATCTCCATAAGTTTGACGCTTATGTTTCACATTAATTTGTCGAACCAAATCCGTCACCGGTCAACTTACGAAACAAACTATCATCTCTTTTTACTGTAGATTGCTTATCTGCAAAGTTTGGGCTGCACTGTCATCCCCACTTCAAGACTTCATGCTTCTCGTCTGATTGAGCAGTACAAATCGCTGTGACTATAAGTCTGTTCTGAAGAAGTCTGCACATAGCAGAGATACCCAGATCCAGTTGCATGTGTGGTATATTTTTAACTAACCTGGGGCGCTGTTAATGTGGACTATAAATGTTGGTATGAATAGAAAACTTGCATTGGCCTTATCAGTTGGGTTTAATTTGATAGTGTTCAAATGCTAGGCATAACCAATGCTTTATATACCAAATTGGATTCATTCCACATTAATGAATACCCAGCTGAAGTCCATATGACAATTGTCGACAATGATGATTGGAAGCAATGAAGACCTCACTGGTGTGACATTAGATTGCCAAAGGAGTATCGGAGTTTTTCATTTCAAAAGCAAATATTTTTGTGTGCTTGAGATGTATCTATACACAAGATTGGTTATTTGTCATACTCAGATTACAGGAGCTCTGGATATTAATACAAGAAAAAGAGGGTGAGAATGAACCTCTAATCAAATGGGTCAATTCTTGGGTCATGTTCGCTTGCCATTGCCATTCCAGTGCAAAGGCATGTGGGGCACATGACCTGCCAAAGCATAAAAAAACAAAAAATTAGGACGGAACATATGATGATGTCAACAAATTTTACATCTGGCAAATAAACGTAAATAATGAAAACCGTCAAAGGTGAGCTCAGCATTTGCATAAGCAAAATATTCTTCCTTTCATTTAAATTTCCCGGTTGATATGGACAAGTCAACAACAGACCATTGAAACTACATAGTTTTTGATGATACACCTTTCCAGATCCTGAACAGTTTGAACATCTTTCTGTTTTCGGGGCTGATAGAGGCCGGTCTCCACCATTGACTGTTGAGACTGGCTCAATAAGAACAAGTGATCCGGTATTTGAGCAGCGAGCACAAGCAAGATAACCTGCATTTACCATCAAGGTGGATAAATTGAGTGTTTGGAATACAGACGGGCTGTAAAAACAGGAAAGATTCAGGAATTTACCAGTTCCAAGACAATACTTGCATCTTTTATGCTCCTGCTGTTTTACATTGTTTATTTCAACTACCATCAAGGCTGAGATAACCCCAACTGCTCCTCCAGAGAATGATGCCACTATAGGATCAACCTGACTGCATTTAGCACCAATGGAACAGTGTTTAATACAACTAAAGTGCATCGACAGTACACCAAATTGATTTCAAATAACAGATGCCTCATCTTTGGAAGCAAACTTGTGTATGCAATAATTTTGCCATCAATATTTCTAAAGAAAGATCTTATATTGTTTCAATAAGCTAGCTTGCAACAATTGCTGCTGTCATTCTCGCTCAGCAACTGTCTCAAAAGAGCCGGATAATGAACATCCATTACAAACCAAGAGGATTAGTCATACCTCAACTGCATTGGCAGATGCACACTACGGATAAAATCAGCATATGATGTGCCCCCTAGTCCTAGCTTAAGCTCCAGCTATGATATGGGAAAAATAAAAGAAAGAGATGGTTAAGGCAAAAGAAATTATGATTCCAAGAACCATATCTAATTCTATTGTGTGTATTTTCATGTAAATAACACCAAGCCTGTCCACCGGCTAATTCCAAACAACATTCTCTCACTAAAAGGGGACTTGTTGCTTCCGAACAATGAAGCAAACATTGTCATGCCCTTGCCTGTTTTCCCATATATAATTTGTTTATTTCCTTTAAAATACTTAACACTCCCCAAAAAAATTATTCCTTTCATTCTATAGAGTTGAAAGCATGAGTGACTTACAGTGGGTGCTAGTAGTCCACCAAAAATGATAATCCCAGCAATAAGAGAAAAACAAGTCGCATAATAAACCTTGAGATTGTCTGAGGTCTGTAAGCAGCATGAACATCAATTACCATACAACTAATAACAAGTAAAACAATAAGTAGAGGAAAAAGCCATAAATGAAATAATATCTCACCAGCGGAGGCAGGAACGGAATGAATGATGGAAAATTAGGAAGTTCATTTTCTCTCTCTTCCTTCAATATACCAAGTTCAGCACTTTTAATCCTCTGTTGTATCCTTAGCCTCCGAACCTACGAAACATTGGGGGAAGGCTTGCGTTGTCATATGATGAAACAAGGTAGCATGACAGAAGAGAAAGAAAAAAGAATCAAAGGGTCACCTCTTCCATGTGGAGAAAGATTTTGTTTCGCCGACTTCGAATATTATCCTGAATTTCTTGCAGTTCCATCTTAGCAAAACCCTGAACTGTTTCAGGCCCTTCTATAATGCAAAATCTGCAGATTTTTGAAAAAAAAAAGGCACATATTTACTAATGACAAGGCATAGCGTGAAAATGAATTTCCAAATTTACTTAAAGACCAAAAACTTCTATTTTCGTCATCAGATAGGCAAAAGTAGCAAACAAAGCAGTGAAATTAAGACCCGCAACGAAGATTCATCTACGTGGAAACCTTAATTAAAGAGCTAAGAATTTACCCGGCGGTTGACTCGGAATCAATAGAAGGCGCGAAGGAGGAAGACTCGGGTTCAGTCGCCATGGATCGCCATCGGGTACTCAATTTGGGCCTCGCGTTAACGAATTCAGAGCTAAAACAAGAGCCACTGTAAGGACGCGACGGCTTCACCGTATAGGAAACCGCCAAGACTCGACTCAGACAAACCATCTCCAAAGCCTTCCACCTTTCCTGTCTCTCTGTTAATCAAATCTCCTTCCTTTCTCTGTAGCTTTGTTTGATGCCGTAGCAATTAATTTAACCAATCATTTCCATCCGTTGAGAAGAGCGTGAGCGGTGTTGTTCAGGAACAGGAAGGCAGAGTGAAGACAAGGGGAAGCATTAATTTTTGATGCAAATGTGAATGGCACGGATCCTTTTAACCAGCTAATGCTGCTTGACGTGGAACCATAATGGTACCTCCGTTCCCCTTTTCTGGTTTAATTTTATTTTCCCTTTGAAGGCAACTTCGTGCTATCCAATGCAAAATTCAAAACAAAAAAATTCTAATAAAAATATAAAACATTATCCAATAGTTTTCTGATTTTTTGCTCAGTTTTTTGACAACATTAATTTTGACTTGTAGCCGAGTTTCACTGGCTCATAATTTTATTCTTTCATTTTTTCTGTTAAAATAATAGTAAATATTTTTAATAATATTAGCAGCAGTAATATTTTATTTTTACTAATAGTAATAATTATGTCTGCAAATAATGAAATATATATATATATATGTACGAACCGAATAGTAGGAGCAAGTTGTAGCCATTACACATCTTTGAACTAAATGCAGTCTCATGCTAAAATAATACTATAAAATAGTAATATAGTAAGGTAATATTAGGTTAAATCAATCATTAAATTTATATTAAAATGATTAAATAAGTTTTTTTTAAAAGAAATTAAAAATAAATTAAACTAATAAGATTCAGGTGAAATTATGGAATTTACTCGTCCCATCGCAGTTGACAAGTTATGAATCATAGTGTTAGCGGCACAATGTTTTTTCTAAAAGACAAACGATATTGGGCCTAGTTTTCAAAAATGCCCAAATAAGAAAAGAATTCGGGCCGGAACAAGGACCCGAATGATTTGCACGGCTTCTGTTTCACCAGATCACATTTTAGGGTTAGGTTCCCCCAAAACCCTAAAATTTTTACTCCTATAAATGCATAGCCACCGGCGGTTGTATCATCACGCAGCTGTGTTCGTCTCAATGTCTGTTAGAGGTTTCTTTTACTTTTTTTTTTTCTCTCTTTCATATAATCTCTCATCTCAGAGGAGATCGCTGTGATGACCACGTGAAATTCAAGCTCAACAGACCGGAATGCTGGCTTCTCTTCTTTGAGAAGTTTGCGTGTCGACCACCCCGCTGAACTGAGCGATCTTTTCTTCTTCTTTCCCTTATCTATTTTCAATCTTTATTTTTTTTTTGTATTAAAAGAAGTGAAATTGTTTTGTGAGAAATTGGAGGTTGCGATGAGGATTTACAGCTCCCTCTTCCGATTCATTTCGTTGAAGAAATCGGCTGGCAGAATCGAACCTATTAACTTTATCGCCACCACTGAGCAATCTCTCAGTTTTTACTATCATTTTTCACTCAATTTTAAAAGAAAAAAAATTGTCAAAGTTTGGTTTCGGGAGTGGATGAGGATGAAGCAAAATATATATATATATATATATATATAATCCAACACTTGATCTGAGATATTCATTATCGAGTGATGTTCAAATCATTGCTTCTGAATCTGCTCATGAATATTAGAGATGAAATACTGATATTAGTTTAGTGTTTTTTGTGATTTCAATCAAGGCACCTTGGAGGCATCAAATGATGAATTTGGAAAAAAAATCTTAGGACACCTTCCTACATAGCTTTAATAAAAGCTATGGATGAGAAGAACATTTCCTTTCTGATGATGACCGCCATTAAGTCATTTTCACCTTTGATTATTCTCCTTTCTTTGGGAAGGGTTATCTGATTGCAGTTGGAGGAAAATGGTGGAATACCCTTCAATACGGCATTAGCACTCAAAAGATTTGAGTTCAAGGGGTCTTATTATTGTGGTTTGATTGCCCTTGTTAATACATGGTACTCGGGTTATCTTGTATGCCTCATAAAAAGCCCAAAACCAATAGAACGGCAGTTCAACATATGCATAGTAGAGTATTAGCTCCTGATTCCTGAATTGAATTCAATTCATAGTTCATAATGGACTCAATATGGGAATCCTAATGAAGACATGAGTTTCTCTTTTTTAATTCCATCTGGAGTTTCCAGTTTTTTTGACTTTAGAGTATTTTCAGAATCAAATAGTTGACTTTTTTTTATAGTCAAATCAAATTAACTGGGGCTTGAGTGAGGACATTGGATGGTAGAATAGGTCAGTTAACTTTAATTGGAAGTAAAAATTGATTTTAAAGTCTTAGTGGATCACATACCAAGAATCCGCTGTCGTCTAGTTGGTTAGGATATTCGGCTTTCACCCGAAGGACATGCGTTCGAGTCCCGGCATCGGAAATTTTTTAGAACTTGCTAGATTCACAGCAAATAAGTTTGGAATTTCTTCTTTGCTATCTGATTCATCAAAATGGGATAGGCAAATTTTGTTTTATTCATTCACAACTCTTGTGCACTAATAAGCCTCTGCTTTCCACGGCCGACTAGGGAGGGGGGCGGCGCGGCGGGCTCCTGTCCTTTCACGGAAATGCGATCCACTAACGTTGCATGTTGATGATGTTATCTTCGCCCAAATGATGAGTTTGGTGTGCCCAACTGGCTTGCCTATGTAATAGACTTAATGCAAAAAGAGAACTAATTTAGCTACTCAAACAAAGTAAAGAAATGAAATCAGTAGTTAAAGCCCATACAGTGATGCCTGTTCGAGTTACTTAAGCCTTGATGTTATTCAGTTTTCAGCAACAAAGCAGTTCGGCATATTTTGTGAGTACATAGATGGAAAAGAATTATCCTTTACCAAAGCAAAAAGATACTACTAAAGGATCCCAAATATCTACCTCATAAAAAGTGTTTCAGCTTCAAAATGATTAGCAAATCGAATCTAATTCATCTATGTGATTGTTTCAGTGATGGGTCGATACCGCACCATGTGAGGAAGCGAATACAGTCATATTGACCTGAAAGAAAATTATTTAACTATAGCACCAGAATTGGGCCATAGGGGGCACTCATATTTCGCGTTGAACTTGTGGGAATTGGGTCCAAATTGAGGGGCAACTTGGATTGGGAAATGGGGTACCGCGTGTGAGGTGGTCCGACACGAGCATGAGTCAATCAAGGCAAGTATTGTGCGCCCACACGGATTCAGCCAAGTGAAGCTCAAGCTTTCAAGTTGAACTTCCTGGGGCCTAGTTTCCTTTCCTCCTGGATTAAAGGTTTAACTGAGTTTCCTCATTCAGATGGCCCAGAAAAAGGAAAATACTTCTGTTTGTAGCTCCAGCTTGCAGCCTAGATTCTAGATAGGTCCCAAATCAAGTTTAGATCCCTGACTAATCCTTTCCACTATGAAGGGTTTGCCACGCCAATGTCTAGCTGCAAGCTGAAAACCTGAAATCAAGCTTTCCTTTCCACTCCAACTTGCTTTCCTTTTAAGATAACTGGATATAAGCAATCGTTTGTGAACTAATATCTAATAGTGTAATACATACATCATCTATGAGATACTAAGTATGATATTTAATTTTAGGATGTGCTCATTCACTAAGCTAAAAGTTTATGATCATAATATCCATTGTTGTGTTTATATGCTTACGAGATCAATACGTTTGATTCGTTTGTTCTTAAGTCGGTTATGTTTGTGCTTCTCCTCTCGCAAGTTATGCCAAAATTTAAAAAATCTTACCTGGCTAAAGTTGTTCTGATTGAACTGTAACTTTCATGAGTTGAAAGAAGCACAAGAGTGTAAACCACAGAGTCCCTTTTTATCTTTTCATGCCTATGATGATGCTACGATGTTGTTGCACACTCTTTGGGTGGGTACTCTAAGGCGTAAGTGAAGTGAAATGTGGTCCAAATACACCCTCATCCCCTATTGCTAAACACTAAACACCCCCCGGAACTCCATGGGGAACAAGGAAGAATGGGACTGGAAGAGCATTAAAGGATATGCTCACGTGTCAAGATCATGTCACTTTCGTGAAGGGATCAAAATTTTTAGATCCCTTCATAAATCCGAAAATGTGGAAGTCAAAAGTTGTTATCCTCCACCACAGCACACCACAAGCATAAAGGGAACTTTTCCTGAAGCAACTAACAACTACTATAGTACCCATTATAATGGGTAGAAAGAGAGAGCTCGGATCCATGCTATTTGGCATGCATTGCTTACGTCTCCACGTGTCCAAGGTGGCTATGGCCGGTTAAAGCTGCTACCACTCAAATGTGCCTGTACCTCCTCCCCCATTCTATCAGCCATGCCTCGATCCGATCCCTGCTATATACATCCATGAAACCAAAGCCTAAAATATCTTCTCAACCGGCCGAAATATCTACTTCTTGCCTGTGCAATGAGAGTATCAAGAATATTTTAACAATTACTATTATGACATAATGAGTTACGTACAATTAATTAACAGCGTCTGTATATGTTAATCTTTGCTTTGGTGTAACTAAAGGGCAGCAGAGACTAAATCCACTCTGCTTATGTACCTCTTGGAACTTGGAAGATGTCTTGCATAAGAAAAAATGTAAACAACGAAAAGACTAAAACCCTCTTGTAGTTGAAAAAACCAATTAGATGTTTTAAACTTAATGGTTAGCAAAAAGATTGAATTGGGGTTGAAAGTTTAGGACTCTAGCGTATCAGTCAAAACACAGACATAATCATGCCTTGTTGATAGGGTCCATTTATTAAATTTTGATAATCCAAAAAAAAAACTTGTGGCTTAAACTCTGTTTCCATTTCCTTCGTTTGGTTAGGCATGAAGACATGAACACATCCCATCATGTTTAATTTAGTTGAAAGGGCGGTGGTGCGATTCAGGCGTGGTAGTGCTGCTTTGTGGGTAAATTTTTAACACTTGGACATGTCAACCTATATAAAAAGTAAATGCCATCACAAGTGGCCTCATATCTCAATCACCCCCATTATAAATATCCACTAACATGCACCAAAACTTGACGCAAACCAGATTTCACACACAATCCCAACTTTGTCTACAAAAAGCTTACAACTCCAAATATATCATGGAGAAGAAAATGCAACTTAACTTTCTCCATTTCACCGTCTTCCTTATCTTCTCCTTGTCCGCTTTTAATATAGCTAGTGCTCGCGGTGACACGGAAAAACTGACCCCTTCCGAAATGTCTACGGAGTCTAATGCCCCAAGCGGGGACACCAATGGCGCTAGCGGTTCAGGCCATGGGCCTAACTGGGACTATGGTTGGGGATGGGGTTCAAGCCCTGCAGGCGGATGGGGTTATGGCTCCGGCTCGGGCCGGTCACCTAATGGATTCGGGAGGGGTTATGGTTTTGGGTTTGGTTCCGGGACTGGGTCAGGCTCCGGGTACGGTTATGGGTCTGGAGGTGATGGTGCTCATGGTGGAGGCTATGGGGCTGGAAGTGGACAAGGCAGTTCCGGTGGCAGCGGCTATGGTGGAGGAAGCGGCGGTTCAAGCGGCAACAGCAACACCTGGCCGTCAAGTAACAGGAAGCACCATGGTTGAAAGGAAGGCCGGAGTACTTGCTAGGACAGTATGGTTAGTATGTAGCTATAAAAGACATGGTGTGAAAGTACGATATACAGTTTGAGTCTGCTTCGTACAATATTACGATATTAGTTCTTTTTAAGTTAAAACTATCTTTATGTACTGGGTATAGTGAGTGTTTCTTCTATTTGCCTGATTGTCTTGATCATGGATTTCATCTTCAGCCACCTGAGCTACAACTTCAAGAGTTCTCCACTATGCAGGGAGAAAAGGCCATGTCTAACAGTTCTCAATCCTTCACCTGCTTATAAATTATAATTATTAACAAAACATAACCTGTTGAACTGTTATTTCTTCTACATTTTTCACTCTTTTACTTCTCAATGGCTATACACTTTAAACAAATTGAGGACCTGCTTTTGCTTATAATTCACAAAACATTCATTCCTGTAGTTGTAGGAGTTTTGAGCCAAGACACAGCAAAGCATCTGGACTGGGCAGTGAAGTGAGTGCAATAATTTAATTAAAAGTAGCATCTATGCACGAAATTTGATCAATGTTTTATTAAACAATGAAAATTTTCAATAAATATGCCTGTTTAAATAAAGCATGAAAACCTGTTCAATGTTTTCTAAATTTTGAATACTTTATCTATATAGTAAAGTCATTCAAACTTTTAATTTGTATTTTCAAATTTAGTTTTGAGTAAGTCTTTATCTCAAAAAATACATCAATGTCTCTTTTGTGATAACATAAACATAAATTAATGGATTCACTACATATCAAAGATTGAACCAGGATTTTGAGTTCACGAGGCGAAAGTCTTATATAAAATCAAGGGATTAAATATTTTTTATCATAAATAATGTACCCATATATAATATATTAAGTATAAGAGCGAAGGTGAAATATAGAAGGCTAAGATACAAAATTGTAAGTTTTTTAGAAAATCTTTTTTGTAAGTTAAAATGGTTCAAATTATGACATGATGTGTAATTATTTTTTTATCATAACGTGTAACAATTAAATTTTTCAATATAACATGTGACAACTAAATTATAAATATAGTGTGTAATAATTATATTTTTCAACATTACATGTAATAATTATATTTTTTAATATGATGTGTAATAACTAAATTTTCAATATATCATGGAACAATTAAATTTTTCAACTTAACATATAATAACTAAATTTTAAACATAATGTGTAATAATTAAATCTTTAACATGGCGTGTGACAACTAAATTTTTTAACATGACATATAACAATTAAATTTTTTAACATAACGTGTAATAATTAAATTTTCAATATGAAGTGTAACAATTAAATCTTCAACATAACGTGTAATAAATACATTTTTTAATATGACATGAAATAACTAAATTTTAAACATAGCGTGTAACAGCTACATGTTTCAACATAGCGTATAACAATTAAATTTTCAATACGATTTTCTATCTTGTGTGACCCACATTCCATCCACATATCAACTTAATCCTTAATTATAAAGAATCGAAAATGTTTAGTTCTTGATTATTACAATTGAAATGTTTGTGCCTTAATTAAAAAAATGCCTAAATGTTTAGCCCCAAATTTGAGTATTTAGCTAGTAAAATATTATAACACTTTTGAGTTTTAGCTATAATCTCATGTGGATTTGTTAGTTTTTGAAATATACAGTCTATCTCAAAAGAATATTTTTCATTAAACACATAACACATAAGTCTAAACATTAATTAATTGTTAACATTTTCATTGGTTTGATGATATAACAGTATTGAAAGAATAATTTTATCTTTCATTAAATTTAAAAATTACTAAATTATAATTTTTTTAAAAAAAAACTCTACCTACCTTCTACTAACTAGCCACCCTCAGCTAGATATATTTGGCCGAAGAGTGTCAAAGTCGACCAAATTGTGCTCTCCCAGGGAAGTGAGAGATTGACACTCTTTTGGGGAGCACCCATTGTGGTGCTCCTAAGCACTTCTTAGATCTAGTGCTCTCTTGGGGAGATCCTACTAAATTTGACATTCCACTAATAGATTTAGCCACGGAATGAGGAAACATTACGGTTTAATCTGAAAGAAAGAAAATAGTAAAAAAAGAAATGCATTTTAGATGTTTCACGTTTAGATGTTAATGTCATTTATACATTAACGCCAAATGTTCCTTTTTAAAATTAATGAACTCATGTATAAATAACCAAAAGATGAGAGGTTAGTGCATTTTTTTTTTGGGTCAATTGCTGGCGTTAAAAGCAATGTTATTATTTAAAAACTTAAAAATTTCACATTACAATCATATCTTCAATGCCAGATTGTTCAATTCGCATTAATCAAGAACTTTATTGTCATTTGATTATTGCCACATTAGCATATCAACTTTTAGCATAATTAACACATAATTATTAAATCAAAATGTTTATCGTACATAGAAATTTTATTTTTGAATATGTTAAAAATTTTTAAAATTAATTACAAATAACATTTATACATGTAAAAATAAATTTTTTTAAAAATATTATATTTATTAATAGAGTTGAAGAATAACGAGATAATTATTTTTTAATTTAAACTCTCAATATATTCTTCAATAATTTATACTTTTAAATAAAATATTTATTTTATATTAATTTATTAATTAAAAATAAAAAATGATTAGCATGTTAAGGTTCAAAAAGAATTTGATTTTTTTAGTATTTTTTGTTTAAAATTATAGTTGTTGAATTGAGATATATATTGTGTACCGAAATTTTATTTTTTAATATTGAGCATTAAATATCATATTGTATGATAAAAAATTTTAAAATTAATTATAAATAACGTTTTTATATATAAAAATAAAAAAATTAAAAAAGATTATATTTTTTAACAAAATTGAAGATTATAGAACGTAAATTAAAAAGATAATTATTTTTTAATTTAAACTCATAATATAAAGTTTTAAACAAAATATTTTTCATATTAATTTATTAATTAAAAATTAAAAAGCATTTATCATGTTGAAAATTAAAAAAGAATTTGCTTTTTTAGTATTATTTTTGTTTAAAATCTACAGATTACTTTTCAGGTTTCAACTCAAAAAAATAATAAAAAAATAACATTTTTAATAATTAATTAAAATTAAATTTATTAAAAATGTATCATCCTTATCATACGCCTATTGCGTATCGTATAATATGCTTTCATATTTAATTAAATTTTACATTTGATCAAATCCAATATAACTATAAATATGTATCATTTTTTATTAATAATACATATTATATAGATAGTATTACGTATCATATTATAACTATGTAATTAAAATCTAAACTCATGTTTCAACTCAAAAATAAAAATTTAATACTTGATTGCAATTAACCTTATAATGATTCGACCATACATAGTGATTTAACCATATCTAGATACATATTGTGTATCATACAATACACTTTATAAGATACAATATCACATCAACTTGATCAAAAGGTCCTTAGCACATTTAACAAAACAAAAATTAATACTATTCATTGCACAAGCCTTGCAACAATATTATGCAACTGAAAATATATTTGACTAAAACTCAAATGAACAACTTATAAATTTATAGGAATACATCTTCATTAATACATCCGCCCGGTACATTCCTTTGAACCACAAAAACAAGCCTTCATCTTGATATCACCATTTACATCACAAATTCCACCTATCCTATAATTATAATCATAGG